ATGGGGGCCACCTCAGCAGCATATAAGGATACAGAGCCCACCATTTTCTCCAGGGGAACTGATCTCTGCCATCTGGAAAACAGTTGTAATTCTGAGTGATCTCCAGCCCTCACCTGGAGATTGGACAGTTTACCTCAGAAGAGCAAAACTGTTTAGAATGTTAGAGGCAAAAGCCAATCAAGTCGCATATGCAAACGACCTCTGTGTTCCGGGGCAGAGGCCAATGAGGCTGCATATGCAAATAACCTCTGTGTTCTGACTGGCTGTGGGGGGGAGAGGATTAGCAAAATGTTTAGAATGTTGGAGGCAGGACTCAGGCAAAGCAGCCAGTGAATAGGGAGACCCTCTGATAGACAGATCAGAGAGCGAACTGATTTTGGAGCGTGTGGAATGTTGTAGAGAAGTGCCACTACCATTCGGCTTTTATTTATAAGGGAGATTTCCGGTGGGCTAGTGTAGGACGTTAGACAACAGGAACAAGGTACGATTGCTGAGAGCTGAGTTGGCTGGGTAAGAGCATCTCCTTCTGCAGCCTGGCAAATTTCTGGGTTTCTTGTAAGATCACAGCTCTTTGCATGGCATCTCTTGGCCAAACTACACGTTACCCTTTTTGTGTATTTTCTCATGTTCCCCACAGCCACATAACGGCTGTGAGAAGCTGCTTCTTAAAAAAGGGGGGGGGGCAAACAGTTTTGGAATGGTGCCATAGGGGGAGGAGGGAAGCTGTTTTCTTGTGTGAAGAAGTAGTTCCCTGCCGCTGCTATGCAGCTGTGGGGAGCATGTACAAATGTGGGAAAACATGTGAAAACAGGGAGTGTATACGTTGGCTGTCTGTCTGTGAGATAACGAAAAGAAGCCTTGCAAGCGTCTAATCTCCTTGGATGGCACTGCTGTCTACGCGATGATGAAAAGAAGCCTCACGTACTTCCCAAAAGGCTGTAGCTCCTTTCCAAGTTAATAAAAGTTAGGACTGCAACGTTTAGTCAATGACTTGGTTAAATTAATCAATTAAAAACATCTGATTGATTTAAAAGGTGCCATGATTAAATCTAATAATAATTTTAAAATGTAAAATTATTTTAATAAAGGCACTTAGAAAAACTGCAGTTGGCAAATGCCAGCGTAGATGGAGCATTTCATCCTGCGAGTGGGGGGTGGGGAGAGAAGCCGCTCTTCTAAGATACCGTTGCTGTAACACAGGCACGCATGATCTAAAAGCAAAGCATTGTTTTTCCCTTATGCAAATTTAATCCATTAATCTACAAAAACTAATAGAATGAATTAAGGTTTCTTTAATTGAGTGACAACCCTAATCAAAATAGAACTTTTGCTAAATCAACGCCCCAAATTGCTCTGGTGATAGCAACAGAGCTTTGTGCGAGACCCTCTGTCTGCATGCTGAGAGAAAGCTAGTTCATGACTAAAATGGAATTTTTATTCTTATTTATTTATTTATTTCACTTTTACCCCGCCCTCCCCACCAGGCGGGCTCAGGGGGGCTTCCAAAACTGATAAGCAGTATACATTTTACAGTAATAGAATAAAATACATCATTTAAAAACATAGACAAGTCAATATAAAACATTCATTCGATGGCGATAAAAATAAAGTGCAGTTTAGGGACACATTCAGCGGTGCCACCACACTAGGTCGTGTTGGATCGGAGTTCACACAGGGCGCTGCTGGTAGGACGTCGCTCCTAGCGGAACGCCTGCCTAAAAAGTTCTGTTTTCATGGCCCTGCAGAACTGTGACAAGTCCCGCAGGACCCTGATCTCGGCAGGAAGCTCGTTCCAATAGGACGGAGCTACAAATGAAAAAGCCCTCGTCCTGGTTACCATCAACCTGACTTCCTTAGGGCCAGGGAGGTCCAGGAGGTTTTGGGATCTTTATTGCAGTGCTCTCTGGGGAACATACGGGGGACGGCGGTCCCTCAGGTAGGCCGGTCCCTGACCATAAAAAAGACCTACATTTTCCATTCATCTTTACAATGTGACAAGAAGCAGCACACTTGTTTGAGAATCTCCTTCTTGACCAGGTTTAGGGATATGAGCCAGTGAGGTCCAGGGGTCAGAGTACTGGAGCAGAATGGGGAAACCCCTGCTCAAATGACCACTTGGCTATAAAGCCCACCCGCTTTGTTCCAATCACTCACTCACTTTGCCTCTCAAAACTCAGCCTACCTCATGGGCTTGTTGTCAGCATAAACAGTATGCTGCTTTAAGCTCCTTGGAGGCTGGGTGCAACAAAAATGTAATGGTTAGAATAGGGTGTGGATTGGAGGACAACCATGGAGAGTCCAGAAGTGTGCTGTGTTGAGTGTGCGTTAAGTGCCCTCAAGTCTTATGGCGACCCTGTGAATCAATGACCTCCAAAATGTCCCGTTGTTAATAGCCACTCAGAGATCGTGCAAACTGAGGGCCGCGGCTTCCTTGAGTCCATCCATCTCACGCCGAGCCATCTTCTTTTCCTGCTGCCTTCAACTTTTCTCAGCATTGCTGTCTTTTTCAGTGACTCTCGTCTTCTCATAATGTGACCAAAGTACGATAGCCTCGTTTGGGTCATTTTAGCTTCGAGGGAGAGTTCAGGCTTGACTTGATCTAGAAGGGTGTTTTGTTGTTGTTGTTGTTCAGTCACACAGTCGAGTCCGACTCTTCGCGACCCCATGGACCAGATCCCGCCAGGCCCTCCTGTCTTCCGCCGTCCTCTGAAGTTGGCTCAATTTCATGTTCGTTGCATCGATGACACTGTCTAACCATCTCATCCTTTGCCGCCCCCGTCTTCTTTGACCTTCAATCTTTCCCAGCATCAGGGTCTTCTCCAGTGAGTGCTCCCTTCTCATCTGGTGGCCAAAGTATTTGAGCTTCAGCTTCAGTATCTGGCCTTCCAGGGAACAGTCAGGGTTGATTTCTTTTAGGATTGACTGATTTGATCTTCTTGCAGTCCAAGGGACTCTCAAGAGTCTTCTCCAGCACCATAGTTCAAAAGAATCTATTCTTCGGCGCTCGGCCGAAGGGTGTTACGCAGTGGCAAATCAGCTGGCCCTTGAATAATACAGGTGGTGTCTCCGTGGGAGCATGAAAACAAGCTCTGTCCAGAGCGGCAGCAGTGAGTGGTTTGGGAACAGTGGGGAGCGGCACCCCCATGCGCGTGACCGCTGCTCCCTGTGCACAGAAATATGGATGCAGTGGCAATCGTGCTGGGAGCCCTGCTGCTCAGAAACCTCTCCTACCCCCTCCTTTTCACTGTCACTGTCAACCTGTGCTAAGGCATGGCTCAGCAACGAAACTGAAAAAAGCCCTTTAAAGGGCCCAGGTGAGTGTAAATGTGTGTGAAACAGGGCAGTGAGCTATTCTATGTCAGTTTGCAAGTGGAGCTCAGCCCTTTCCCCCTTCCAGGTGCAGCATCCGGACAGAGGTGTCCCCCCCCCCACCGCCACTCCTTTGAACCAGATCAAAGTCGGTTTATTTTTGATCTGGTTTCAAGGGGAAAAGACCCCAGAAAGACTGTGAGTCACACTCAGAATGAGCACAGCGTTGTCTGGATCTTCTCGTTTCATTTGGGGGCTTTCTGGATTCCGTGCAGGGGGGGAATTGTGTGTGGAACCAGCTGTATCACACACATGGTTCATCCGCAAGAGCGCATGCCCCAAGACTGCATTAAAAACCGATGTCTTCCCCAAGAGAAGGGAGAGCCATTTATTTCGGAATACCTTTGCCCCACTCTGGCATTTGTCACCTGACAAAGCAAAGGAAAAAAAACAAAATCTCTCCTCCTTTCATAAATCTTGCAGAGATGCTGGTTTTAAGCTGGGGGGCGGCGGGGCGGGGAGCATTCAGATACTACAGAGCTGAAACAAACACGAATCTACCTGCCTGTTAGTCAGAAAACGGATCTAAAATTCAAACCGTCGCACCAGCAGCTCTCCACATAGAAGGCTGCGATAAAATGGTCATCCTGAACAGCATGTGTGCAAAGTGCCGACATGCCTCCCATTCCTGTTTTACATCTGCCAATATCGAATCTTCACGAGGAAAGAAGCTGTATTGACCTGCTAACAGACACAGATCCTTCCAGCCATCGCCAAGTTTTGCCACATTTCAATTTCAAAATGCATTTCAGCCATAATATGAGTGATTTATCATTTCACGGGAGCTGTCAAAGTAAACTCCTAGATAAAACAAAAACATCTGGAACCATAAACAGGCAAGCACGGGACCTGAATTTTAATCCGCATCCAACATGTTCACTTCATTACAAACAGGAAACAGCTAATTAGTAATTGAACGTTTCATGTTTTTAAGAGGGCTCGTGCTCTCCAAACAGAGATGATCTAATATGGAGCTTGGACATACACACGAATCAAGATCTTGCCAGAGGAATGTTCAGGAGCCTGGGAAACGCCAACGAAAAGGACGCTAGATGAACCGGACTGTGATTTACATTGCCTTTAGAGCTCTGAGTCCTAAGGAGCTAAGAGACAAGAGTGTGTGTGTCTTGCTTGGAAGGGGACTACAGCTCAGTGGTAGCTGATGGTCCCAAGTTCAACCC